CAAGATCAAGGTGCTCGTCTCAGTTGACTTGGATGCTGTCTCAGGATGGCTAGGCACGGGTCAAAATCCAAACAATAACCTTGCTGATTACAGCTCGGGCTTCTTCTCCGCTTACGTTGGTGTCCCCCGTCTCTTGAAGCTTTTCAAGAAGCTGGACATTGAGGACAAAGTGACCTGGTTCGTGCCCATGCACTCTGCCGAAAGCTTCCCAGAAGAGTTCAAAGGCATCAGGGACAGTGGTGCAGAAATCGGACTCCACGGATACTGCCACGAGGGCGCATCCCAACTCACACCCACACAAGAGCGTGAAGTTCTCGAACACTGCATATCGCTGTACCAAGAGCTTCTCGGGAAGCGGCCACTCGGATATCGTGCCCCATTGTATCAACTCCGCGAAACGACGGTTGAATTACTGGAGAACTACGCCTTTTTGTACGATTCATCGCTCTCTCATCATGACAGCAAACCATACTACCTCCCAAGCCAACCGCCAATCATTCCACCACGATATGAGGTGAATGCCTCGGCGAAAGACTGGATGAAGCCGGTCCCCAAACCCAGCGCACCAACAAGCAAAACGCTCGTGGAGATACCGGCGAACTGGTATGCCGAAGACATGACACCTCTACAATTCTACCCCAATACGCCAAACTCGCAGGGCTATGTTGATGTCCGCGTGGTTGAGAACATGGGCAAAGATAAGTCTGGTTGGGGGGGGGAGGGAGTTGTTTTGCTAGAGCGGGGGTTGGAGAGGATCTGGGGGTGGAGGGATCTGGGGTGCTATATTGCACGTACTACGTATGTGTGTGCGTGTATTGCAAGGGGGGATTTGGCGGTATACTAGTGGGATTGTCCAAAAGGGCAAGCCGAGTGTGTGGGTGTGTGATGTGGAAGGTGATGCCATCTCATCTGATCTCATCGTTTTTCCGTCGGTAGTCTCTTGTCCAACTACCCCATCTCCATCCTTCGCCCCTCTTCTCTCTCGAGTCTCAACGAGACTTTAAGCGCAAGGGATCGCCCGCCCAAGTATTTTGCTGTGCCGGTGTGCGGAAACCCCAAGGCTTGATTGTTTGGTTAGGCTTGCGTATATAAGTGGTGGGTGGCAGATGTTCAGATAGCAGATACTCGATAGATTTTACTTTGATCTTATATTTCTCCTCGTCGTCTCCTACTACTCCATCTCTCCCTGTGTGTCTCTCAATCCGCCAATAAACAGGGCCGTGACAAATACGACATGTCGTCCATATCCGCACATTGACAAATAAAACAGTAATAATAGCAAGTCGTGTGCACTATAGACGGGATAACAGAAGGGAAAGAAGAAGGAAGAAGGAAATCTGCGGAGAAAATCCATCGCCCATTGCCGTGACATTCGGGACTTTTTTTTACCGTCTGGACAACGAAAAGAAGGTTTGACTACTAGTGATAGCGTCTTAGGAAAAAGAATAGTAGAGAAAAAGGAAATGCATAGTCGTAATATCGTTGCGTATGTTCAATGTGCAAAGGTTTCCGCTCTGCTCGCAGAGTGGTGTCGCGCGCACCTCCATCCCGTTCGTGTGCCGGCCTGCCTGCACATACTGGTAGCGTCGTGCGTGCACCACCACTGCAGCAACCAAACACCATGGCTTTCCGGCAAGTGAGAGCGCCGCGCCATGGTCTGGCATTACCATGTGCTGTAGGTACTGGTGTACGACACATGCATACATGGTCGTTTGTACGTTACGCTGCACCAGGTCCCGACTAGCCATGTAGCTCCCCTATCTTGCGGGACTTGTCTCGGTCTTTTTCCTTGTGTTCCCGCACATGGTCGTGGTTGCACGACTGCCCGTCTCTTGCGCAGCTCATTGCGCTACGCCGATCGACCCGTGCCCGCACGAGCGAATTCTTTTATCCGGGCTGCAGGCATCTTGCTGAAGCGCCGGCTGCTCGTTGTGCTGGTTGAGAATTTGGCGGAGCTGGCTGGGGAGGAGGAAGAGGAGGCCGAGGTAGAGGCGGCATAGACGTATTCGCCGTCGACGTAGTGCGCGTCGCTGATGAAGGTTGTGCGTTTTTCGCGGCGTGTGTAACGTTGTTCTAGACGGTAGAGCTCTAGGCCTGTGAATGTTGTTAGATTGGTGATGGTAGCCCAATGGATGGAGGGGGCCGTGAGGACTGGTGGATGGAGGAGGGGGAAACAACGTACGAGCTTGTAGCTTTTCTATGAGACCCATTCTGCAACTTCAATTTGAATGTACCGCAGCGAAGTAAAGGCTTGTATTGACAATCCAGTAGTCGTGGTCTATACACCGAAGAAGTCGAAAAAAGTTCCCTCGAAGCTGCACAGGAGAGAAGTTCGGGCCCAGGGGTGTGAGAGACAGACGGTGTATATGATGAGAACGGCAATTCCAGTGCTGTTCCAGTGTTTCCTCAATGCAAGTGGCGCAGCAGCAAAAAACCCTGCGTTATAGGTCGGTATCGCTAAGAGCTAGGCGATTGCAATTCAAATATGGGCGAGAATGAATGCGTGAGCGCGGCAGACTTTCCGAAACCTGAAACGACAGGAATTGGGGGGGGGGCAGAGAGTGAGCGGTGGTCGAGTAGATAGGTGGAGACGACAGCAAAACACAAACGGTAACGGTAGGTGACAGTAACGGTAACGGGTAATCAGCGAGCGAGAGCGAGTGGGGAGAATGGGGGGGTTGGGACGGAGAGTAGAGTAGAGTAGAGTATGTATAGAACGGGGTACGGGGTACAGACTATGTACAAGCTATCTTGGGAACCAGGAAAAGGAAGAGAGAAAAGACATAATCCGAGGGGAACGGTGGGTGATGTACCGAGTTGTCTCCTAGCCCGTGCAAAACATGGCAAACACCCTCTAAACAGGTCCAATCCTCCTCTTCCTCCTCTTCCTCCTCCTCTTCCTCCTCTTCCTCCTCCTCTCCTGGCCTCTCGCGTACATTGTGTTGGGAGAGGCAAGACTCAAAAGTTGGCGCGTTACAGTTTCACGCACTTGGCCAGTTCTAGAAGCTGGGAGCGGGGCGTGGCTGTGGGGCGTGGAGCAGACGCTAGGCCGAAAACTGCAGTAGCCCGTCCAGACTAGAGACGGAACAGGCTTAGACACTCTCCCGTCCCTCGGTACGTTCTCCTCTCTCTCTCTCTCTCTCTTTCTCTCTCTCTCTCTCTTTCTCTCTCTCTCCAACTTTGGTACTCTACAATAGTACATGTTCACTACTGTGCCACCTTGTTGACCCCGTTTTGGCACAGAGCTTGCTGCTACATACATACATACGGTACCTACGAATGTGTGGAAAAAACAAACAACATCTCCCCGGCCATCGACATTCTCTCCCTCATTCGTCTGGCCCTGTGCACCGGCCGAGTCAGTCCTTCACATGGAAGCTAGGCCTAGCCTCCTTATTTGGGATACCGTATTGTACCTCCCGTCCGTATTACCACTTGGCAACCGAGCCACAGGGGGCGGGAAACCACTTTGAGGAGCGCGAAGCCAACAGCTTCATTTGATGAGGACGTAGTCATCGGCCACTCTGAACTCCCCCACGGCGCCATCAGATGCGACGTCGAATAGGTAGTGATTCCCATTCATCTACATATATAGACTACCAACCCCCAATTGAACAGCTAGATCCAAAGGCCTCACAACACACTCACACGTCGCTATAATGTATGCTTCTAAACATGACCCTGATCATCACGCTTGCATATGAAATCCTACCCATCCTCCTCCATACAGAGACTCCGTGCAGAATGCTCCAGACAACCTCCATCACCAACCCGGACTGACCCTCCCCCACCATCAACTCTGAGCACGACTCTCCGGCACAGTCCCATCGACAACCGCAACCGCCCCAACATTGCCTGCATCCGCCGCACCATTCAACAACGAGATGACCGAAATCACATCCGAAGGCTCCACCAGATGCCAGCTTGCCAACGTTTGCTTTGAACTTGCACCCACCGTCACCGAGAAGACGTGGTCCGACGGTAATGCCGACTGCCGTAATGATCGGAACATGTCTGTCCTCAATTAGTAACCTGCTCCACCACTTTCCATGTACAGCCCTGCCCCTACCTTCGTCTGTGAAATCATCGCCCAGGCAAAGCACAAACTCAGGAGGCTCTCCCGGCCGGCTGCCATATTCATGCACAAGTCTCTTTGCAATCTCACCCTTGTTGACAAACTTGGGCCGAACCTCGAGATTGGCTTTGCCAGTCATGACTTCCACATCGTACTTCTTGGCCACCGTGCGCTCCAGATGCTTTTGGCACTCCCGCGCCTGGAATGCGCCGTACTCGGGATCGGCTCGCCGATAGTGCCATGTCAGCGCAATCTTCTTCCGTTCGATAAAGGCCCCTTTTTGCACATTAGTACACAACCCAACCAGTCTGCAAACATCCATCGCCTTACCTTGCGTGCAGTCCGTGTAGTGCTGGAAAATGTCAAGCACTTCTTGCTGCCAGCTCATGTCGGTCTTCTCCGTCAAATTCTCCCAAACATCGCTTCGCGGGTTCCTCATGAAACTGCCGTGCTCTGCACTGAGACCCAGCTCGGGTATGTGGCCCAGGTACTCGTTCAAGAATGCTTGGTCTCTGCCGCTGATGATCCATACCGAATTGGCCGGATCAGCCGCTAGCATCTTCAAGGTGCGGGTGACCCGATCAGACGGGAGAGCTGCTGACGGATCTTGGACAATAGGTGTCAGCGTGCCATCATAATCAAACATGAACAGCCGCTTCTTCGCTTGTCGGTACTGGAAAAGCAGCTTGGCCCGGTCCAACACTGGTGTAGCAAACGACTGATCGAATGACGAGAGGTTCGTCATGAGCTTCTTCAAGTAGTTGTTTGTCCATGACTGAACATTGTTGGAAACAACGTGATTGTATAGCCTCTTGTGTTGTTCTGCACGCTCTTCTGGACCTTGCTTCAATGCGCCGTTGATGGCATCGGCTACGCCTCCCAGGTCCCATGGGTTGATGTGTATCGCGCCACTCAGAGAGCCTGCAGTTCCCGAGAATTCCGAAAGAATCAACGGCCCATGGTTGTCCTTTTGGCAGATGACGTATTCCATGCTCGTCGTGTTCATGCCATCGCGGACACTGGTGATGAGGCCAATGTCTGCAATCCGGAGCAGAGCAAAGTACTCTTCGCGAGACAAGTACTGCGGAAAGTGGCGAACTGGTGTGTAGTCGAGTGTGCCGTATACCCCGTTGATCTTGGCGGCCAGATCTGAAATCTTATTGACCACCTTCTCTTGAGCGCCATCGCCACGATCCGTGCGGACCCCGCTAGGACTCGTGACCTGAATGAGGACGACTTTGCCTTGCCATTCAGGATACTTTTCAAAAAACATCTCAAAGGCTTGTAGTTTCTGCACGACTCCACGAACAGCGTCCAAGCGATCGCGACCGACAATGATCCTCTTTCCAGCGTACATTTCGCGTATCCCCTTGATTCGTTCATCGATTTCTGGATCGCCAAACGCTTGCCTCTGCGTCGAGACCGCATTGATACCAATGGGGAATACGTCCACAGCCACGTGAGCTCCGTAAGCATCGACACCTGCCGAGGACGAATCGAAGCCCAATATTCTGGTGCAGCAAGAAGAAAAATGACGTGAATAGCTATATGATTGGAATCCGATCATGTTTGCACCCAATACCCCCTCGAGAATCTCCTTGCGCCTGCTAAGACACCTGTAGAATTCACTACTGGGGAAGGGAATGTGTAAGAAGAATCCAATGTAAATGTTGGGCAGGCGCTGGCGGAGCAGACTGGGTAGAAGCAAGAGCGGATAGTCGTGGACCAAGACTATGTCTCCTGGCTTGTAGATTTCGAGGATCTTGTCCGCAAAAAGCTTATTCATGCGGTAGTAGTCTGCCCAAGACTTGCGGGCAGCACGTCCATCTGCTGGCTCGTTTTGTTTGTAGTGGAACATGGTGTATAGCTCGTGTTCTGCATAGGTCCGCCAGTGGCTTTGGTCCTTCTTGACCACAAACTCGTCTTTTCCCTCATCCACTTCATCGACTAGCCAGACGGGGACAATCTTCCCACCATGGTCGCGCTCAAGTTGTCTCTCGAGGCGTTCACGGTCTTCGCGCCCAATACGCATTCCAGTTGGTTGTTGAGGCGCGGGGATGGGCGTCTTTGGATCGACTGGGATGGGCGCAGCAGCTCTGTTGATGGGTGCTTCTGCAGGCCCAGCAGCTGTTGCGCTGGCAAGTTCACCTGTCCATCCCACAAGCGTATGGTTCCATGGTGATGATGAGGAAGCTAGGTAGGAGAAGGAGTCGAACAAGGCAGAAGTTCCTCGACGCGGGTTCATCTCCCAATCGTTGCCAGGGGAAAACCCAAGGCTGTATGGTATGGCAAACGTCGCGCTGATTACACCACCACTCAGGTTGAGGCCTGGGTGAGCAGCTCGGGGATCCGTATCTGCCAGATCCTTTTTGCCATTGAATATGGGGACGCTGCCCAGCTTCTCAGAAAGCTCCCCCTCTGTTCGCGCGCCTGCGCTTGCCTCTGTAGGGGCGTCGGCCGTGGCCCTCTGTTGGTTTGAGAAATAGGAGTTGGCATTCCACGAGGGTCCCGGTGTGGCCGTCTCTGGATCGAAGGGTAGATTGTTGTCATGGTTGGTGGCGGGGTTTTCAAAGTATGCGGAACCGCCGTCCAGATGCACGCCGGGCGTGACGGGCACATTGGTAATGTCTGGATGAAGTGCTGGGTGCTGGCTTGCGCGTGGCTCAAAGGGCTCTTTTGGGGTTCCCTCTGGGTTCGTGGGGGGAGCCATGGGGAGATTGTGATTTGGGTGAACGTTATGCTGCCTCAAGTCAGTCAGAGACGGAGTAGGCTGGCAAGGATCAGGAGAATGACGAGGGGTGGAATTTAAGGTGGGCATGCAAAGTGTGTTCAAGCTGTAAGAGACTTGATCCTATATTATCACAGCATGAATCGAGTGGCGTACCTGCTGTCCAGAAGCTCCTCCCTTTTATTTACTTGTGAGACAGAAAAGAGCGTTCCCACCCTAGCGCTTGGACACCCCTCGAGAAGTTCCACTGCACGAACGGAAAGAGAGAGGGAGGGGGGGGGGGGGGGAGAATACGAAGAGAGCAAGAAAAGCAGTGCAGAGGAACAATAGATTCGCCAGAGAGAATATAAGTGTACTGTATGTTGACCAATGGATCAGAATGGTCTTGGCGAGCGTTGGTGGGGAACGAGTACTCTAATCGTACAGCCGCGGGAGAAGTGGCAACAGCAGCGGGGACAGAGAGGGAGAGAGGGAGGGAGGGAGAGAAAGAGCAGGAGAAAGAGAGCAAGCGAGAGAGAAAGAGAAAGAGAAAGAGAGAGAGAGAGAGAGAGAGAGAAGAGAGCAATACCGGAAGAAAAAGTTGTCTTTGGTGGGTGGGTGGGCACTGGGGAGCTTCCACCAAGCAACCCCACTAGGTTAAGGCGGTTGCGGACGTCACAGGTGAGGAGCATGCCCGTGGCCAATTCAGCAAAAAAGCGCAGGCCCCTCCCCCCTCTCTCTTTGCCGACGTGCAGCAGCAACAAGCAAGCAAGGCAACAAGCAGCAACAGGGCGGCAAAGATTCGAGAAACGTCGGACCCACCATGACTGTTGGTTCTGTAATTTGCTGCTGCTCTCTTACCGCTTTGTGCACGTGTTGACGTCTTGGCCTTTTCATGGAACAGGAATATAGGAGCCAGGACCAACAAGGCACGCGGTACCCGTAGGGTAGAGTAGAGAGGACTCTACTACCTAGCTCTAGGCACTCTGGGTTCCCGAAGCTTCTTCCTGGCTGGCTGGGTTCCATGGGAAGAAGCTCCCCATGCATGACATGGTTTACTGTATAGTGTTACTGTGGTAGAGTAAGAAGATAGTACGGTAGGTGGATGGATGGATGGACGGATAGATCTGTCCCGCTCACATACCGGTACCATAACCATAGTCCTGTAGGTACTACTACATGCAGTAATGCCAACTAACCGTAACTACTGCTACGTGGTACTTACGTTGTGAGTGTGACATACAATAGGTAAGAGTACTGTCCTGTGTACTGTACAATGTACCTACATGGATAGTACACGCTCTTCCCAGCTGTGTACTGCAGGCACCCACAGAACCTACCGGCCGGCGGTAACGGGCTAAAATTGCTTGGCAACGTGCTTCAAAGCAGCCCACAACCTTCCCCCAAAAGAATCCCTTCTGTTCACTGAGACTCCCCACTCGCCACACTGACACTGCGCGCCTCCTCATGCAATCTTCGCGCAGCCGGCTGACATGTCGCGCCCGTAATCGCTTCACGCCATCGATTGCCCTGTGGCAGCACTTCATCGCGCCCGGCCCACAACAGCAGCGCCTATACGCCGCCTTCTCCACCACCACCACCACCACCACCGCCGCCGCCGATGAGGCCACGCGAGAAGAGGCAGCCGGTGATGTTGCCAATGTAGTGTTGCACGCCAATGCAGAGGCAACACCAGCAACACCATCGGCCAAGGGCGAACCACGACCCAGGCGCGGACTGGTCATCCGCCGGCCCAAGACCGATAAGCCAACAAGCCAGGGTGCCTGGCAGGAATATAAGCGCGTCGCGAGCGTCATCAAAAACGCAAAGGCGGAATGGCAGCGGCGAGAGGCTTCGCGCCAGCGGTCCTTCGAGGCCCTGACGCTGGCAAAAAATGCCTCCAAGGCTTTGGAGGACTACGAGGGCATCATTGTAGAGCCCATGGTGAATCCCGAGCCTGTCAAGGAAAGCAGTCTGCCATGGTGTCCGTCGCGAGCCGAGAGGGAGGACATGTCAGCCATGGACAGGTTGGCCCTGGAGATGGAGAGGTTCTGCGCCTACGCCAAACCCACCCGCCTCGAGCAAAGGGCGCGCGACCATGTCATCAAGGAAGTGCGACGCCATGTCCTCGAGCGCATGCCTGACCACACCCTCGAGGTATTTGGCTCGGAGCGGACAGGCCTCGCTCTCGCCACCTCCGACATTGACTTTCGATTGATAAGGCCACATCAAATCCCGGATCCCGAACGGGCACATTTGCCCCCACGACCCATGCAACGCTCCAAGGCATTGGGTGGACTACAAAAACTACATTCGATGCTGAAGGATACCTCGGGTACCTACCTCATCACCATTTTTCGATATGCCCGATATCCCCTCATTTCCTTGCAACACCGGACCTCTACCCTGGACATTCAAATCGTATTAGCCAACGACACGACCCAGTCTCGAGACATCATCCAACGCTACCTGAAAGAATATCCCTATTTGCTCACCCTTTTCACCGTCATCAAGACAATCTTTGAAATCCGGGGCTTGAGTGACGTATTCCGGGGAGGTTTTGGCTCCTACTCGCTCTTCATGATGATCGTGGCCAGCATCCAGCATCAGCCCCACGCACGAAATGACGCAGCCGGTGCCCTAGTCAATTTCCTCCGTTTCTGGCGCGACTTTGACACCACCAAGCACGGCGTCTCCATTGAGCCCGCCGAAATCTTCGACAAGCAAGCCGTGCCCGTCAGAACCGGCAAGGTACAAGCCAGATTAGAGGTAAACCACACCCCCCTCCCCCCTGCCCTCTTCTCTACCATAACCATGCTCACTCCCACAAACAGGGCGGCGAAGTAAATCCGCTGCCCATCTACATGCTCTGCCTACGCGACCCCGCCGACCCCACCAACGACCTTGGCCGCAAAGGCGCAGCCATCAAACACGTACAAGCCACATTCCGCTCCCTGCTCCAGCGACTCGTACACGACATACAGATGAAGACCCGGCCTACGCTGTTGGGACCCTTGGTCGGCCCCGTCTACATGCTCAACCTTCGGCGGCGCGAACAGCTCGAGGCGTTGGGGAAGCGCTTGGAATTGGAGAAGATGAAGGAGCTGGCGGCTGTGGCCAAGGCGATTCGAGAGGGTCGGGATGTTGGGGATAGGAAGGGTGTGGAGGGGGCGGTAGAGGTCAAGGAGGGAAGGGGTACAAAAGAGGCTGGTAGTCAAGAAGCTGGCAGTCCAGAACCCACCACCCAACAACCCACCAGCTCAGAGATCACCACCCAACAACCCACAACCCACCAAGATTCTCCACCAAACCCACAAGAAGTAGAAGAACAACAAGGAGGAGAGACTGCAATTCAAAAAGACAAAGACACGCCATACCCATCATAGTCTAAAAAATAACAATAATAAAATCTCCATGCATGCCAAAATAAGAAAAAGAATTCATACAAAAACCCCCTGTACAATTTCTCCCTCGCCAAATTCACTTGAATTTTCTTTTCTTTTCTTCTCTTTCATGCTTAAACCCGAGTTTTTTTTTGGGAAGGGGGGGGGGGGTTAATG